CTAGTGACCACATTTTGCTGAGGTATGACATGTCCAGTGCGAAGTGTGTTTCTTTTTTTTTCTCCCTACTTCTTACTTTCACTGATGCAATTTTTACATATAATGCTGACTACACTAACTACACAAAAGTAACAACTGGACTTTCCACCTTGGAGACATAAAAATCCCTAATACTCACTTTTTTTTTTCCTTTTTTTTTTTTTTCCTTTTCTTAACAAAAATAAACTCCTTTCTTTGTAGGGAATGTTCTCAGTTCTTCAGTAAGATCCTGTTAGTTATTTCTCAAGAAATGTTGATGGTTAAGGATTAAAAACATGACTGCAGAAACTAATACCTATAAATTGTAGGTTTACAAGGACATAAGGTGGGAATTTCAGCATGTCATTAGTATTAATAGTTATTTTCATCATTAGAAGGAAAAAATATACCATTCAAAACAAAGATTATTGAAATATAATACCAGTCTACATTTTCTTTCCATGGCAGCCTTTGATACATCAGAAGTGTTTTGGTATTTCAGTCCTCTGACTCATATCTGAGGATAAAAAAAAAATAAATAGAAAAATAATTAAAACAGAACAGAAAATACCCTAGAGTTATTTTACCTCTAAAGAAAAAATGAAACCCAAGTAATAAATTGCACTCAATAGTGACACATTTCTGTCAAGAATTATTGTATGGCTCAGGGCACAGAGAGATGTATATACTTCTTAGACTATTTTCTCCTTTAAAAACTGGCCAGTTTACCAAATATTAGAATGAAGGAATGACCTACCCAAAAATCCAAACAATTGCCAAAGCATCTGGAACATCTGCCATCCGTATCTCTCTTGTAACACCCAAGGGCTTATCCACCACACACATGAATATCCTGTATCCTCTCCTTATTCTCTCATTAGTTGCTACATCATAACTGCTCTTGCACAGATCAGTCCTATTCACGTAACATCCACTAAAAGGACTGCCTTGTCAAAAACCAGGAAATAGACTCCGAGAAATTCTTTTTAAGGAAAAATTTACAGACTGTTTTAGAGACAGATTCACATTTATATGACAAAATGGGAGCAGAATGTGGATCCAGAACAAGGATCCTGTTTGGACAAACAGGAGAGATCACTTACTTGGAAAGTCTTCTACGCAGATCCTTTATCTGTTCATTCTTCTTAGTGAGAATCTCTTTCATGTTGCGATAGGCTGCTGTTTGCTGAAATTTCTTCTCCAGTTCCTACATAATAACAATATCAACATATTATTTACATATTATGAAGACCAAACTAAAATATTTAAAAAAAAAACCAACAACACCCTATTGCTTTTCCTCCTCGAGTTTCAGAATAGTAGTTTCTGTGACTTATTCAAATTTAGATTAAGTCAGCTGGTAAATTCAAATGAGATTACTGGGACAGACAGAGAAACACAAACTTTATTTTCTAATGAAATCAGGCCAAGTCTTCTGAAGGCTGGGAACAGACTTTTCATTTCAAAATTTCTATGCAGAAAAATGGGCAATATTTAAGTATTCGTCTAATTATAATCACGTACTTAGTTGTGAGCTTGCTATTTTACTTATAATGTGCTTTTCTACTGAAATAACAAAAATACACAGGCAACAGTGTGACCTGATAAACTCTGCATCCTGTAGTTTGTGCTTGTTAAATTACTAATCAGTTAAAATGTGAGTAAGGATCACATCTTTACATTACAAAGAAATGCTAACCTTTTCAGCTGCAGATAGCTGATCCT